CAGTCTCCAGAAAAAGAAAGAAGCGAATTTAAATTATTTTGAGCCCTCTGCCCAGTATGCCATTCCTTGATTAAAACCATCAGCCCTAATTTTTTCATGCCACTCACTTAAATACAATGATTTTTTAGCGCTTTAATCATAAATTTAGTGTTTCCTTGGTCACCGCAATTGCCTTTCAACACAATTTTACAAGTCTTCGCTAAATTTATCTTCTGGACAAATGCTGCTTCTGAGTGTTTAAATATGCTGGCTCATTTGATAAGATTTTCCATTTCTTTGGCTTTCTCCACAGTTTCTGACTCAACTATTCTCATTCTTTTCAGTTTTTCCCTCTCCTCCCATCTCTCAGCGCGTCGGTACTGATTTCACGATTTTTTACAAAACGCTCAGAACCCTCATTTTTCCAGCTTGAAGAAGGAAAACACCGCAGTCTACCTTATAACTCATGCAATTTTTGTACTTTCAAGTTTTTAACAATTTAAAACAGTTTAAGCTATTGACATTACCATGTTTACGACATCATCGAAGAAAATTGGTTCTGTGTCTGCTCTGATCACGTATTCGATGATTTCTTTATAAAAAATTGACATCTCATCGAATGAAATACGTCCATCCCCATTTAAATCCATCACTCGAAACCAATACTCAATACTAAAGTCAGGCAAATAATGTAACTCTGCAGCCAAATGATTGTAATCAAGCACTGTCTGCTCAAAACTATCCCATTAAGGATCCTGTGCTTTCTTTCACTCAAGAGCCGAATGCAATCGACAATTCAAAACTCGTTTTAGCTTCTTCCCCGCTTTTACAGAAATTAAAAGCACTTGTTATGGTGAGATGGTGTCTACGCGTACATGCACGTGTGTGTACCTGCGTATATGACTGTGCTGTTCGGACAATTCAGTTTCAGAACTACGAAAGTTAGTCGTTTTGGAATATGATTCTCAACTACGTTCGAATCAAATAGCCCAAGGAGTAGCCAGGAGTCTGTGTTTGAGACGAGAATGTACGTGAATACTAAAACTCTTCTAAAACATCGAATACTAAAACTTCTAAAACATCATGAAAACTCTTCTAAAACATCGCTAGTTTCATCTTAATGGGCTCCGGAATGGCCCAAAAGTACATGGTAAAGGTAAATTACCTTCGCGGGTGACACTTATCAACCTCTGCCATCAAAAATTGAACAAATCCAGTGTAATCCATAGTAACCCTTCTCCTACTGTTGCGTAAAATCGCATCCGAAAAGATTCGTCGAATCGCCATTTTTGTCAAAGCTGGAACAGTGTTTGATAAGCGCTGAGGTATTATTCAGTCTTAAGGTAGAAAAATGATAAGAAACAAAACGAATTGAAAAGCTTGTGGCTGCTTTAACTCAATCATCTGAAGAACCACCTTCGACCTGAACAATTTAAAGAAGCTGAATTTGTCCTTCATTTTGTTAGTGGTATTTTCAGAAAATAGTTGTTTCACTAAGTTAGACTGAATAGATCAAAATTAGGAAATATTAGTTGAAAATTATACTAAGAGGAATATTTGATACTTACCACCATTCGAATAGAGGGAAAGGTCAGAAGGCGTTAAGCATTTTTTATTGTTTGTATCCAGTGAGTGAAATTTGTAATATATCACATAAAATTGCTCGTAGGAGAAGAAATCGAGCTCTTCACTGATATCCACTGTTTGCAGCCTCTTTATTGCCTGCAAAACATTTCTTTCGTTCATTTCTGGAGACTGAGTTAAATATCAAATAAGTTTGTTCAAAATTTTACACAAATAGAATTTTTCATCTGTGTTTTGTAAACAACACTTTCCTCCTATTCCTTGCTTGCCCATCCGGCAAATTAGCTCTGCGTATAAAAGTGATGATTTCGAATTCTGGGTAAAAAACAAATCGCTAAGCTAGTAAACTTTCTCGTATTTGATCAACTTATTTGCAAATTGCTATGAATTTGTTCTCCTGCAGGCTCGAAGGAGGAAATCGTCGGTACCCAAGCCAACATGTTGCCAAGGTACCATTGCTGTTTGGGTTTGGGATGTCAAGTTGCTTTTGTCTCTCACAAGAAACGGAATGCGGCCAGGCTGGAATTTCACCCAATTCTTAAAGAACGATTGGGCAAAGATACTCGCAACAGTAAAACTACCGGAAGAGACAGCACTCGAACGTACTTTCAGCAGTGATGACTGCCGTAACTCAGCTAATGAGATGCGTTCATTCCACAGGCGGCTCACAATCCAGAAAATGCGTGCAGTCACCTGCAATAGTTCATCAGTAATCCATAAGCAATAAAATAGACTGGCGCTTGTTAGAAGAATTTTGCGCGTTTATCGCAGGCGAAGTCTTCGGAGTGCTT